CGACGTACGTAACGTACGACGACGACGTAGTATATATATATATATATATATATATATATATATATATATATATATATATGTATGTATCTAGATACAATACAGAGCAATCGTAATGTATAATACATTATATAGATCAATTTTTATCTATGAGATACGACGATGGATAAATATATATAGTAACACATGTATGTGTGTTGATAAGTATATCATTATATGATAAGTATACAAACATGCACATACTGCTATCTTTAATACATAATTATATCTATTGCACTAGAAATAGTGCAGAGCAATCGTGATGTGTTATATATTATATACAGCATCAAGACTTAAAGATACCTTGGACTTGGACAGTATGTCCTGTAGAAAATCATATTGTCAGATTTGGATGATGTTGGAGAATTGGACTCGGACTTAGTTCGTCGAGAAATCAATTTTCTAAATTTGTGGTTTTTTTTTATGTTGTGTTTACGAACATATTTCATGTGCCGATTGTGTTCCACCTATTGTATGTATATTTTTGTAATATGTGTTATTTGATAGGGGATGTTCTTACCTTTAATATTACACCTTATACAAGTCATTTGAGTAAATATTTGTTGAGTTATGAGTCTTAGAAAATTAAGTACTATTTTAAATATTGTGTTTGTATTTTTAGAGATGGAATCTTAAAATATACCGCGCACATCCGTTGGAATTTCTTTGGCAAAATATATTTTCGAGCCGAGATGGCCACTTAATTTTGGCGAAAAATAGTATAAATACGGAGTACACATGTATACTTTCACAGAGTTGAAACATTCTCAAGGAAGCAGCGGGCGAGACTGAAAACCATCCTTTTTTGGGACCAATGATCCAAAAGACTGAGAGAGAGATAGAGATACCCGATTATCCAACCGAGAGGATGAAGTACGTAGAGCCCAAACTGAAGGATGCTACCGGCTATCCGAACTGGAAGCTGAATATGGAGGCCAAGCTTAAGGCAAAGGCCGTCTTCAATGCTGTCAATAACGTGACAGGGAGATTGCCTATTCAATAATTATCCAGAGCGTTAAGGATTGCTGCCTTGGCTACATTCGCAACACCGATGACCCTGCAGTTGCCTTGGCGCAAATTGCTGCCGCTATGAGCCGCCAAACGGAGGCCAATCTGGATACGTTGACTCAGAAGCTGGACAGGATGAAGATGAAGAATGGAGAGAATGTCGCTGAACTTGCCGATCGAATCGAGATTTTATTTAGCCAACTAGCGAATCAAGGGTCCCACTACCAAGTCTGCATTACCTGAACTTTGTGGGGAGGATAGTGCTTCTGATTATTCAGACTTTGATTGGGGTGTCAATAGTGATGAAATGGATGATGAATTGGATGCTCCGCCTGGGTTGCTGGTAGGATCTTCTTTATCGGACTGTGAAGATGAGGGTGAGACTATCTCAGCTGCAGAGGAAGGTAATTGTGACTTCGATTATGATGACGACGCTTTTGCCGAGGACGATATACTTTTGGATGATGGTGCTGGTTCAGTCACTAAAATGGAGAACATAGTGAACCAGGAATCGGCGTATGCTTTGTTGGGTGTGGGTGATTTGATTTTGTCTGCTAACGAGCTTGTGGGTGACACAGGTGCCAGCAAGCATGTTGTGGTATCGGAGGATGATTTGTCTGTTGTGAATCCCTCAAACAAGCGATTGACTGGGCTTGGTAACAATAAGCTACACGCAAATGGGGAGGGAGAGTTGCGTGGCTGCCCGGAGACTGGTTTAGCCCTTCTCATTCCTAAGGCGGGTGTTCAACTTTTGTCCGTACGACAGCTTGTCAAGAAGGGCTGGATGAAAGAATGTACACTACGTGATCCAACAAAGGGCGATTTGGTGAAGGCAAAGGTCATACAGGGACTATACATCGTTTCCCTAAAGGATCTGAAGTCACCTGCGAACAAAGCAGAATCGGGTGCAAGAATTGTCTGTGAGGAGAAAACTTTCGTAGCATCTGATGATGGTGAGGCATATATGTTAATGTGGCATCAAAGACTTGGCCATGTAAGCTTGGAACTGATGAAAGAGGCCGTGATCTGTGCAGGCATGGAGAAGGTTACCTGACATTGGGGTGAGAGGCTTTCCTTCTGTAAAGCTTGCGTACAAGGCAAGATGACACGGGCCAGAACTGCGCGTAAGTTGGCCCGGTCAAAGGGCAAGCGTAAGTCTGTGGTGATTCTGGAAATTCCGGGATCGAAGCTGTATGTGGATATATTTGAGACTTCTAGGACACCGTCTCTTACTGGAAAACAATATGGTCTCCAGATTCTTGACGATGCAACAGATTATTACTGATGTTTAGGATTGAATCACAATAATGATGCAACGGCTGCAATGCGTCACTTGCTGGACACTGGATTTACAGTGCTGAAGCGCTTCCCGAAGAAGGCTCATAGTGATAGAGGGGATGAGTTTGTCAATGAGACTTGTAAGTCTATGCTATCAGCAAGAGGTATTAAGCAGAGTTTGACGGCAGCACGTACACCTGAGCATAATGGAAGATATGAGCGTGCGCATCGCATTCTTATCGAAATAGCTCTCGTGCTTCTCCTTCAGGCGGGGCTGGGTGATGATTTTTGGCTTGAAGCGGTTACCTATGCTTGTTGGTTGATTAACGTGATGCCACAACGAGGTGGTGCTAAGTCACGGGCCGAATTATGGTCAGGAGTCAAACCCGATTTGTCGCAGACAACAATCCCTTTTGATGCGAAAGTGTACTTCTTGATAGGAAAACACAACAGGAAGTTCGGCAAGAAGGGTCAGAAAGGTATACTGTTAGGCCCTAGCCTTGATACTGTTGGCGGCAGTATGTGAATCCACAACCTAGAGACAAAGCGTGTTGTGAACAGTCGAGATTACCTCCTTGACCCCAAGATTGCGAGTGAAGTTGAAAAGGTCAACGTCAATGATTCTGAGAGTGACGACGATATGATTGAAGATGAGGCAGGCGCCAGTGATGACGACATGTATATTGTTTCAGCGTCAGTGAC